ACCGCTAGGCCAAACTGTAGTTAACTTGAGCCGCAAAATTCTCACACCCCTCCAGCATTCAATCTTAGACATTGGACTTAAATTTATTCCCACACCAAAGATAGCTAACTTGAATTATCTACAACCATCCATTGAACGATTTCAACGAAATCTTACCTGCACATATTTTTTTCGAAACCACCCCCCACGTGGTGCTAGAACAATGTTTATTCCTAAATCAACGTGGACACCCCCTCAGGCCGCCATCCATCCTGAAATATTGAAAGCATTTACGAGTATGAATAGCCAAACAGTGAACCTTTCCATAACACACGAAAAGCCTAATCTCACACGAGTGGAACGTGAAGCGTTAAACTTACTTAAGAAAGACGATAGCATTGTTATTAAAAAGAGAGACAAAGGTTCATGTTGTGTCATTCTGAATAGGGAGGATTACGTTTCAGAAGCAGAGAATCAACTGAATAATCCTAAACATTATGCCATTTTACCGAAACCTATTTTCAAAGAAACTGCTAACATGATTAATAATATTCTTGCCGATTTAGTCAAAACTAGTTATCTCAAACAGAAACAATATGACTATCTGTCTGCCAAACCTGATTGTCGCGAGAGACATTTGTACACTTTGCCTAAAATCCATAAGAATCCAACCAAGGAGTGGTTTATCTCGAATAAAATCCCTAAAGGCCGCCCGATTATATCTGACTGTGGTAGTGAGTCATATGCAGTGTCAGAATACATTGATCATTTCTTACTATCTCTAGCATGCCAACATCGCGCCTACCTTAAAGACACAACCGATTTTGTCAATAAAATAAAAAATCTTCGAGTTCCCTCTAATGCTATTTTAATTTCTATCGACGTTTCTTCTATGTATACCAATATCGATAACACTACTGGTTTAACAGCAGTTCGTAAAGCTTTTAATAGAAACCCAGATCCAAACAGACCCGACGATGCAATTCTACAGCTTTTAGAGATTTGTCTTAGTCGAAACAATTTCACATTTAATGGTAAAACATATTTACAAACTTCAGGGACAGCAATGGGCAAACGATTCGCCCCTTCGTACGCAAACCTTTTCATGGGAACGTGAGGTGTTGCCCCTCTGTCCATTTGACCCACTTTTTTACGGACGCTTTTTGGATGACATTTTTATGGTTTGGACTTATTCTATCGAACAGTTTTGGGAATTCTTTGAAATTCTCAACAACCACCATCCTTCTATCAAACTAACCGCAAACGTGAGAAAGCATAGACTTTCTCGATACCACAGTCTTCAAGGGAGATTCCATAGCAGAAACAAATAAACTGGATATTAAAGTGTATTTCAAAGAAACTGATACTCATCAACTCTTGCACAAGAGCTCCTTTCACCCAAAACATACCTTTTCTGGTATAATTAAGTCACAAGTTTTACGATTTCATCGAATTTGTACAAGATCTTCTGATTTCAACCAAGCCTGTACGATTGTTTTCTCAAAACTGAAAGAGCGTGGGTACTCTAAACGATTTTTACGAAACATAAAAATTCCACCTTAGCACAGATAGCAGCTAAAAACAGACCTAATGCCGAAGTACCTCAAGGTTTAAGAAGTGCTCCATGTTTGTCCAGTAGATGCAAAACATGTCCCTTTATATCAGAAACTCATTATTTTGTAAGCAACTTTACGAATAAAAGGTACCCGATCCAGGAACATCTAACATGTGAACATTCGAATGTAATATATTTAATTTCATGCAAGAAATGCCCCAAACAATATGTAGGAGAAACTAAGAATAACTTACAGACATCTAATTAAAGAAAGACAAGCCTGTTTCTAATCATTTCAACCTCAACGACCATTCAATAGACGATCTCGCCCTAATCCCAATTGAGCGTATAGAAATTGACTTGCCCGAAGATGAAACTACCAAATTCCGTCAATCTAGGGAAGCCCATTGGATTGAGACATTGAATACAGCAGGCATAGCATCCAGTGTTGTCCTGTTCAATACAACCAGCAATCGAGCAAGCAAGATAGTTCATGCCCACTATAAGAGCCTTCAAGAGAAATTCCCCCATGTCTATAAGCAGAAAATGATAGTTGCATATTCAAAAAATAAGAACTTAAATGATAATATTGTTCATAGTAAACTAAAAACAATCAGTACATAACAGATACTATACTTCTCGCCCATCGGGCGAGTTATTTTTTCTAATTTCAGATCAGAATAAGAACAGAAGAAAACCCAATATCAAGACCCTTAATCCTAATTTCTAAATAAAGTGTCTGCTCCACCCAAGGCCTGTACATTGGGCAGAATCAAACCCTCCCTTCCCCAAATCAAAAACATCAAATTCTCAGTCAGAAATAATACATAAAATGAGTGAGTAAGGCCATACCAAAACTATTTTCTGTTCTTTAAAAAAAAGATACGCCCAAACGGAATCGTTTTTTATATTAATAGTCAGTAAGTCATGGATTTGGGTGGTGCGATGCAATTGTACTGCTTTGTTTTCAAAATGACTCTTTTTTTTGTTGTTGTCTACTTCTGGTCCCGCTCCCTAGCCAAAACTGCATATGTCACACATTATCTGACATGATCATCTGTCATACTTAGCATGTCGCTATAAGGTGAATGTAAAATGACGCATTTTCGACCAACCAGAAATGACATAGGACGTTAACCATTCATTGCTTATTTTGAATTACTGCTCTAATGCTAAATCTATTTTACTGTAATTTTTGTTTTGTTCATTCTTTAGACGAATGACTAAAAGATTGTACGTTAAACAATTTCAGATTTTGACTTTTGTCGCTGACTTTTATTCGTTTTAATTTTAGCGTTTTTTTCAACTTCTACTATTTCATTTCAATCTATCTGAAAATTTACGAGTAGATAGACATTTTGATTGCGAACAAACTTCTGTTTTCAAAATTTTTGTTAAAGTTGAAATTTCAATTACAGAATTTTATAGGTATTTGCAAAATTCTGTTTGCAACATGCTCAAATTGTTTATGTAAAAGATTTGAAACAATAAAATTTGTCTTGGAGGTATTAGATTTTTCGAAAAGTCCAAAAAATGAGAGTTACCTTTTCCTGAAAATCACTCTCCAACAGATTCAACTTCCAGTTAGTGCTTTGACGTTAATGGCGGTAAACAACACACAGAATGGGAAAACAATATTGTTGTGTGTGTAAAAACGGGAGAGGCAAAAACATCGGGAATAGAATAGTTTCATTGCACTCGATACCTACCAGCAAACCACTACATGTTTCTTGGCTCAGGAGGCTTCAATTAGTAAGAAAAGACTTTTCCCTTTCCAAGTTTACCAAAGTTTGCTCTGAGCATTTTGTTGGTTTCAGTGGTCCAAAGCAACTCAACGACATTCCTTCAATCTTCTCTAACAGAATATTCAATATTTCATCAGTAAGTAAATGTTTCATAACAAAAGATATCGATACTCTGAAAATTTTAAATTTGTAATAATCCAAATTTTACTTTTCATTCATTATTTATAATCAATAAAATTGTCTGTTTACTGATTATTTTATCAGCAGGAAAGTTTTACCATAATAGTTTTAAAATTACCTTATTTTGGTTATTCATATTAATTTATTTGAACTAAGAATATAAAAATATTTCATTAATTTAATTGATAAAATCATTTTGATTGGCAGCTGATAAGCCTGAACTTCAACCTGACAGAATTTCCAAGATAACAACACCATAGCTGATCAACTTTTACCTCAAAATTCTTTTCTTGAGAAAAACAGCTAAAATTTATCCAACAATTTTATGTCAAGAATTAGATAACCATGAGCTTGTGGTTATCATCTTTTATTTTCTAGGTAATAAATTTGGGGATCAATTTTGAGTGCAAAATGCTGATGAATATATTTTATACTCATATTGACTATTCTTGAGAACTTAAATTTTATGTTCATTCTAAGACATAGTATCACTTTAAACGGGTTACAAATGATGCACAAAATTAAATGAATTCAGAAACAGAAACATTTGAAGTGTGTATTGAATTGTTTTATTTCATGTACAGTGTGTACTTTTGATACTTAAAAGGATTGTAAAGAGGTTTTCTAAACTTTTTATGTGTAGCAGGGACATTGATAGCATCAATTTGCACTGTTACAATTTTTATTCCGACGTATGTTTTCCTTGCAATTCCACTAAAACTAGCGCGTTTTATGACGTTAACCGTGGGGAGCTACCGGAAACTAACGAGCTTAGAGCAGAATCTGACCATCTCCCATTGACATTTGATATTGTTTACCATCCAGCCACTATTGCTGATTGTCTAGGTTAAATTAATTTGGCACAAGAAAAAGTCCAAGTCTTTTCAAGATGTAGTAACAAAAAATTACGGAGAATTTCATAGTAGAAACTACTATAGATATCTATGCAATTCCCCACATTTGACGTCATAAGAAGCATTAGTTTTAGTGGAATTGCAAGAACCACAGACATCGGAATGAAAATTGGAATGGTGAAAATTTATGCTCTGTTTCCCAGAAACAAATAAAAAATTTAGAGGTTATCTCAACATTGTAGTTGATATTATCTGATGATTTCATGACAAAATGGATGATCCAATCGGACAGCTAAAACATTTCATTAAAGTATTTATATCATCTTTTGTTGCATATTAGCTTAATTCTATTTAAAATCTTACAAAACAATTGTATTGTAATAAGTGAGAAACATCTATATATTTCAAAAGACTGTATAACCAGGTTAATAGTAAATATTTTTCGATTCGTCTGATTTTCAATAGGGTTCATCCTTGGGTGATTTCAAACAACCATACCAAGTTTCGTTGAAATCAGTGACGGCAATATACGCCCCCCATTTCATGTGGGCGTATAAAAATCTGTCAAGAATCAAAATTTGTCTTCAGAACAACATAGTGTGAATATCTGGTTGAATCCATTGCAGAGAGCATTGCAAGTAAAAACACAGGAAATGGACATTTTTCAATATAACATATAATACCTACCCTATATCAGTTAAAGGTGGTTTATCACGACTACGTCTGTAACATATAAACATTTCAGGACATCGTATACTACCATGATTTAGGTCTGCAGGAAACCCTGTGGGTGTCCTCTCTACACAATTGTAGCCCTTTGGTACTTGTTCTCCTAAGGATTTGTTAATGACTTTTATGTCAGTGATAGGGTCCTGCTTGAATGAAGGTTTAATTGCAGCTTCATTAGAAAATTCTTCTAAAGGTAGAGGATCATCAGGCAGACCAGCTACAACAAAGTAGTCTGCAACTCTTTTTTCATCCATCTTCCTTAAATACACAAAATCAATATCAATAACCCAAATACAACAAACAATTAAATCACACAGCTCTAATCAAGGGCAAAAAACAACTTTTGACGCGTGTTTACAAAGTCAAGGGCAATAACTCAAAAAATGTTCATCAAAAATTTCTCTTGTTAGAACTTGTCTGAGATCTTATCAATTCCAATGATCACACCAAGTTTCATCAGAATCGGTTGAAAACTGTAGCTTCTATTGTGCTCACAAACAAATTTTGACGCGTTTTTCGTAAGTAAATGGCATTAACTCAAAAACAAACAAATTTTGACGCGTTTTTACAAAGTCAAGGGCAATAACTCGAAAACCGTACATCAAAAATGCATCAAGTTAGAACTTGTCCGAGATCTTATCAATTTCAATGATCACAACAAGTTTCATCAGAATCGGTTGAAAACTGTAGCTTCAATCCTGCTCACAAACTATTTTTAACAAATTTCTACGCATTTTAACAAAGTCAAGGGAAATAACTCAAAAACCGTTCATTGAAAATATGTCAAATTCGTACTTGACCGAGATCTTATCAATCTAAAGCATCACATCAAGTTTTATCAAAATCAGATAAAAACTGTAGTCTCTATAGTGCTCACAAGAAATGTTGACGGACGGATCGACGGACCGACGGACAGGGGCGACGACAATATACGACCACATATTCATGTGGGCGTATAAAAATACAAAACTAACATATGTGTGGAAAATCAATGACATAATTATAAAAACTGTCAACAGTTTCAATTATTTAGGCGTTGTAATTAATTATAATGGAAAACCCACTTTAACTCAAAAAACATCTCAGGTTGATAAGGCATGCTCTACACTGCAACGTAAAATTCGAGAAAAAAATTTCAATATTGAGACCAGCTGTGCATTATTCAATACTTACTTAAGTCCAATACTGAATTATGGCTCTGAAGTATGGGGTTATAACCCTGGAGATGATATCATGCCAAATTTTGTAACCGCATTCTCGGGTAAAAACGTCAACAAATAATTGTACTCTTTATTATGAACTAGGAAGAATACCATTATTTGTAACCAGAAAATATAAATTAATTAAGTTTTGGTTTAAACTGTTAAGTACGTCCTAAGAGCATGTTATGCTGATATGCAGAATGAACTTCTCATTTCTACGAGCTATAGCCTTGAGATAGAAACTAATTATCTCAAACAGAAACAATATGACTATCTGTCTGCCAAACCTGATTGTCGCGAGAGACATTTGTACACTTTGCCTAAAATCCATAAGAATCCAACCAAGGAGAGGCTTATCCCAATTATATCCGATTGTGGTAGTGAGTCATATGCAGTGTCAGAATACATTTATCATTTCTTACTACCTCTAGCATGTCAACATCGCGCCTACCTTAAAGACACAACCGATTTTGTCAATAAAATAAAAAATCTTCGAGTCCCCTCTAATGCTATTTTAATTTCTATCGACGTTTCTTCTATGTATACCAATATCGATAACACTACCTTAACGGCAGTTCGTAAAGGTTTTAATAGAAACTCAGATCCAAACAGACTCGACTATGCAATTCTACAGTTTTTAGAGATTTGTCTTAGTCGAAACGATTTCACATTTAATGGTAAAACATATTTACAAACTTCAGGGACAGCTATGGGCAACCGATTCGCCCCTTCGTACGCAAACCTTTTCATGGCAGAGTGGGAACGTGAGGTGTTGCCCCTCTGTTCATTTGACCCACTTTTTTACAGACGCTTTTTGGATGACATGTTTATGGTTTGGACTTATTCTATCGAACAGTTTTTGGAATTCTTTGAAATTCTCAACAACCACCATCCTTCTATCAAACTAACTGCAAACGTGAGTGTCAAAAGCATATAATTTCTCATTACCACTGTCTTTAAGGGAGAGCAGAAACAAATAAACTGGATATTAAAGTGTATTTCAAAGAAACTGATACTCATCAACTCTTCCAGAAGAGCTCCTTTCACCCAAGACATACGTTTTCTGGTATAATTACGTCACAAGGTTTAAGAAGTGTTCCATGTTTGTCCAGTATATGCAAAACATGTCCCTTTATATCAGAAACTCATTATTTTGTAAGCAACTCTACGAATAAAAGGTACCCGATCCAGGAACATCAACATGTGAACATTCGAATGTAATATATTTAATTTCATGCAAGAAATGCGCCAAACAATATGTAGAAGAAACTAAGAATTTACGAACTCGTTTTAATGCTCATAGGTCGGATATACTTCTCGCACATTGGGCGAGTTATTTTTTCTAATTTCAGATTAGAAGAAACAGAACAGAAGAAAACCCAATATCAAGATCCTTAATCCTAATTTCTAAATAAAGTGTCTGCTCCACCCTAGGCCTGTACAGTTGGGAGAATCAAACCCTCCCTTCCCTGAAAGCCAATAGAGCTGACCGAATTTGCAACTAGAAGACAAATATCACTTTTTACACTTTACTCCTTAAGAGTAAAATGTATTGAAAATTATTACTGGATTAGACCATCAATGCATATTGCATAAGTTTGTTAAACTGTTAAATTCTGAAAACTGTAAAGTTTTAGACAATCTTGGAAAATATTTACATTTAGCTTCCAAACATCGAGAATGACTGTAGCTATCTTGTAATTATTTGTATTATTATTATTAATTGTCAAAACCTATGTACTATGGTAATAAAGCAATACAATATATTAGGAATGTTAATATAATATATTCTTTTCTTACAATGAATTCTGCTCATGGGACCACCTTTACTAAACAACCAACTTTATTATGATACCACCATCAAGTCACCTCTTCAACTTTTCAATATAATAAACGAACTAGAACCGCTCGTGGTACTGAGTGGGACTTTGCTCTTGTGCCAATTTGCTAGAGAATCTGAAAAAATCAACGTTCTTAGGTCACGTGCTAAAGCAGTAAAAAATTTTGAAAATTTCACTTTTTTGGAAGGTTGTGAAAGCGGAAGTTGAAGCAAGACATAAAATATGGAAGTATGATTAGATTTCCAAGGTCAATGACCTTTGGCCATGTTAAGGGGAAGGTCATTTAAGGTCAACGTCACTAAATATGAATCATCAAACTTTGAAAATACAAACATTATAAAACCGGAAGTTGACGATAAACATCAAATATGAACGTATTAATCTTTAGCCAAGTTCAAGGTTATCAAAGGTAAAGGTAAAAAGTTCAAAATATGTAATATTTAAACCCTGTTCCTTTTTTTAAACTACGAAGCTGAAACAACTGACCTTTTGACACTAACTTGCCAAAAGGGTGAGGTAATTGTGTGCATGGTCGTCTTTTGAACGAATGTATTATATGCAAGTTATACCCCTGATAAAAATGTAAATAATAAGTAATTTAAAACTAATGCGCCACGCCCACCTCAACTTTTTTGTCATAAGTTAATTGATATTTAAAATGTCTCGCTGTGTTCCGAATTCCAAGTTTTTACCGCAAATAGGTCATAAGATATACATACACCCAGCTCAAAGAAGCGAAAATATTGTGAAAAAATACCGAAATTTCAAAAATTTTATATCACTGAAAAGAGCACAATGAGCACATTCAGAATACACAAAAATAAACCCTAAAGGTAAATTAGGTCAAGTCTAGAGCAGTCTAAATTTGCAAATTTGGCTGATTTTGGACAGCTATAAAACCAAAGTAAACGTCAGAGGTCAAATATGAAAGCATCAACTGATAGTCAAGGTCAATGACCTTTGATCAATACAGGTCAAGGTCATCAAAAATCAAGGTCAAAAATTGAAAATAATAAAATTCAAAAATTCAGAAATTTCAATTTTGCATTATATATCACTGGAAAGAGCACGATGAGCACATTCAGAATCCACAAAAATTTACCCTCAAAGTTAATTAGGTCAGGAGCTAGAGCAGTCCAAATTTGCGAATTTGGCTGTTTTTGGACAGCTATAAAACCGGAAGTAGACGTCAGAGGTCAAATATGAAAGCATTTACTGATAGCCAAGGTCAATGACCTTTGACCTAATAAAGGTCTAGGTCATCTACGGTCAAGGTCAAAAATTGAAAATTGTGAACTTCCAAAACTTGTTCCCTTTTTTTGAATTATGAAATTGAACTAACTGACCTTCTAAGACAAAGTCTCTGGCCAAAAATGTCATTAATGAGTAATTTAACCCGGATGTGCCACGCCCACCTTTTTTTTGCATAGGTTAATTGATATTCAAAATGTTATGTTATCTCAAGCTTTTACATCATTACCATTTGGTCAAAAGATATAGGTCAACAAAAGTCAAAAAAGGTCAAAATCGAAAATTGAAAATATGGAAATTTTAAAACCCGTTCCTTTTTTGGAACTATAAAGCTAAACTAGCCAAAAGGATGAGGTAATTGTGTGCAAAGTCTCTTTTTGAACAAATGCATCCTATGCGAGATATGCCCCTGCCTCTAAATGTAAACAATTAGTAACTCAACCCGGATGTGCCACAACATGTCTAGTTGTGTTCCAAGATTCAAGGTTCTACATCAAGTAGGTCATAAGATATACATACACCAAGCTCAAAGAGACATAAATATGGTAAAAAACCACTCAAATTTGAAAAAATCAAGAATTTCAATTTTGCTTTAAAAATACGATTGTTAAATATCACTGGAAAGAGCATGGGAAGCACATTAAGAATCCGAAAAAATTGACCCTTAAGGTTATTTAGGTCACATGCTAGAGCAGTCCAAAGTTACGAATTTGGCTGTTTTCTGAACGCTATAAAACCGGAAGTACTAGTCGGAGGTCAAATGTCAAAGTATCAACTGATAGCCAAGGTCAATGACCTTTAACCTTATAAAGGTCAAGGTCATCAAAGGTCAAAGTCACGAGATAGAAGTTACAAAAACTTCAACCGGAAGTTGCAAAAAATAAAAAGCGAAATTCAAAAATCGGCTTCTTAGTTTTTGTTGGCAATCGATTGTAGTTTATATACACATCAAGTCCATTT